GAGGATCCGAGTCGTCCCCTTGCCCGGTGTGGGCGCCCTGCCAGTATCCCAGTCCACCCTCTTCGGAGGTTAGAAAGTTTTCCATTGCCCTATTTCCCCAAAACCTAGCAGTGGGAGACAACTGGTCTATTGATTCTAAGCTCACAGCTCGCTTGACGTAGAGCACGAGCGTCACGCATTTTCTCTGACGGTGGGAGGGAACTTTCGGGTTTTCAATGGTTTGATACTGCCCGCCTCAAGCCAGGCAACCCTTGGTCAAATTGGTGCAAACCCGCCAAAACCCACCTGCGTCTGGCAGTAGTCGCAGATGTATCATAATACGGTCGCAAAACAAATATGCATCGTTCCAGTACCTCAAAGACTGCGTGTGACGGCCGTCAAGCAGATCCCTAACTGTCTCTGCAATCACATTCCCGAGCTGGATCTGCTCCACACTGCCTTGTGGGTCAGGCTATTAAGCCAAAGGCTCCGAGCGGAGTCTCTCAAACAAACCTCCAAACAACCCACTGCCTTGTGGGTCAGGCTATTGAGCCAAAGGTGCCGGGTGGAGTCCCTCAAGCAAACATCCGAAGCACAACAGCCACCTCGCGTGCGATTGCCTACCAATGCAATCGTATGTCTGCGCGCAAAGCACTCAGCATCGGGTGCTGGAACGTGCGCACACTACTAGACCGGAACTCGAGTGAGCGCCCCGAGCGACGCACTGCACTGGTCGCAATGAAACTGGCGCGAAACAACATCGATATCACGGTGCTCAGTGAAATTCGGCTCGCTGAGCAATGTAGGTCGCATGAAGCAGGTGCTGGCTGCGCATTCTACTGGGTGGGCAACGTCGCCTCAGCACTACGTGACAGTGGGGTCGGATTTGCAATATCCGATCGTCTCCATGGCCAGCTCGTGGGTGCACCAACTGGCATCAGCGCGCGACTGATGACTGTTCGCCTACGACTCGGAAGAGGTAAGTTTGCCACTTTTATAAGCATGTGCTATCCTGATGACACGCGTTCAATTCTACACTGAGCTATCCTCCGTGATACGGTCTGTGCCGAGGAGCGACCGACTATTTCTACTGGGTGATTTCAACGCGCGCGTTGATCGTGATGCATCGCTGTGGGCAGATGTTATCGGTTCGCATGGCATTGGTTTAGCGAATGCGAACGGTGACAGGCTGGTGTCACTGTGTGCCACTCACGGTCTGAGGAGCACGAACACTCGGTTTGCACTGAGTGCGAGTGATATAGCAACTTGGACGCACCCACGGAGTGGTCACGCTCACCTGCTCGACTATGTCATCGTACGTCAGCGTGATATGCGTGAAGTGCGAATGACACGTGTACTGGGTGGAGCTGAGTGTGGCACTGATCGTAAATTGGTGCGAACCAAACTGTACATATATTTTCGTAAATCTGTGTATTGCACTCCCGCCGTGAATCGGCGTCAAGTTAACATTCTCGTCCTTGTTACTGTGGCGCAACTTATTGTGCTGGAGAAGGCGATGGCTGCACGCCTGTGTGATTTGAACTGCATAGTTACAATGGGCAATCAGTGGCACCACATTCCCGATCACGCGACAGTTGCTGCCGAGGAGACTATCGGGTGCGCAAAATGTAAGCAATCTGATTGGTTTGACGAGAACAATGTGACGATTGGCGCATTGGTGTTGGAGAAGAATGCAGCATTTGCTGCACATGTGGCAGACCCCAGCGATTTGGGGAAGAAAAGTCAGTTACGCAAACTTCGACGGCGACTGACCCGAGAGTACCGTCGCATTAAAAATGCACGGTGTGCGGAGAACGCGAGGCAGATGGAATGCTACGCCGAAGGTCGCCAACCCAAGAAATTCTTTGACTCCTTGAAGACGGTGTATGGACCGAGATTGGAGCCGCTGAGGACGCTGATCGATGGTAGTTCAGGCGCTACCTGCACACATACTGCAGACATGATGCAGCTCTGGCGGAAACACTTTGACTGTCTTTTAAACAACCGTTCAAACACCGACTGGCCTACATTGAAAGGCCTGAAGCAGCACGATATGAAGACGGGTCTGGTGGACACGCCGACAGTTGCACGAGAAGTACAGAGAACGACACCAGCCATTGTACTCGCTTTTTGTTGATTTCACCGAGGCATTTGATACGGTGAACCGCGAGGCATTGTGGCTGGTGTTGGGTAAGTTTGGTTGCCCGCGTAAGTTTGTAAGTTCAATTGTATGTCTGCACAGTGGTATGCGAGCGAAAGTGCAGCTAAGTTGAGTGACCTCGGATGGCTTTGCAGTTGTCTCTAGTGTGAAGCAAGGCTGTGTCTTAGCCTCTGTCCTGTTTAATATATATCTTCATGCCATGATGTCTTGTGCTTTTGATGCCGCTTGTGCTTACGGTGTTCGTGTGGAGCACCGTATTGATGGTGGTTGCTGAACATCCGTCGTTTCGGTGCGAGAACTCTAGTCTGTGAGACAACTATCCGTATGTTGCTGTTTGCTGATGACTGTGCGTTGTTTTCACACAGCGCGGATGAGTTGCAGCACATGACTAGTGCTCTGGCTTCGACAGCGGCCAAATTCGGGCTCACCATCAACACAAGCAAAACTGTCTGTCTCTTTCAGCCTTCACCGGAGGTGCAATCTTCAATATTGCCGCAAATCAGCATTGGTGCTGAAGTGTTGGAAACCACCTCCCGCTTCTGCTACCTTGGGAGTTTGATGTCGACTGATCAGCAGCTACACGTTGAGTTGCGTATCGCGTGTCGAAGGCAGCGGCGGCATTCGGGAAGCTTGAGTACCGAGTGTGGAACAACCATCAGCTTAGCATTGGCACGAAGCTGATGGTGTACAAATCCATGGTGCTGTCCGTTCTTCTATACGGCAGTGCAACGTGGACGATGTACCGTCGGGATGTGCAATATCTCGAGCGGTTCCATCAGCAGTGTTTGCGACGAATTTTGCGCATCACTTGAGGAGACAGAGTTGCAGACACGGAAGTGTTGCGACGAAGTGGGATGTATGCAGTGGACTGCATACTTTTACTGAGACACCTGAGATGGCTCGGTCATGTGAGCCGTATGGATTCGACGCGGATACCGAAACAACTTTTATACGGTCAGCTGAGTATTGGGAAGCGGCATGTGGGGAAACCAAAGTTACATTACCAGGATATGATCAAATTGAGCCTCTCACGTTCTAATCTTGATTGCAGATCATGGGAATCGAAGGCAGTTGATCGGCGTGCATGGCGCGATCTAATCATGAAGGCAGTTGCCGAAGTGCGGAAGAAAGACCTCATGCATGCAGAGAAGAAGCGACAAGTGCGGAAGCGGCAAGCACCGATGGGTTGTACTCCATCGACATCGAGCGCATGGTGCTGTAGCACATGCGGTCGCGAGTGCCTGAGTCAGGCAGGCTTAGTGATCCATGAGCGAGGTCACTTGGGACCACTACCGAAGCGACGACGGGTCCTGCAGAGAAGGTAGGCAGAACCGGCGCAGCGTTTGTAGGTATGCTGCATTCGATTTACTAACCGCGTGCTTGCATGCTAAATCTCTTTATTTCAGGTGGTGGGTTTTCGATTTTGTCCTAATGCTTTTATTTCTCATATAAATGCCTAATTATACTCTCTTCTATACACTTGCATGCGTCGCTTAAGCCGGTGTAGTTATTTTCGGTAACATTTTCGTGTTTGTAGCATTTCCCTAAAATAAACTTCCTGGCCTCGTGAGCTTACATCCTATTCGTTGGTAAACAACTTATTTCATATGCTCATTAATTTAGGATTTATATTACCGTTTCCTTATGCATTACTCGATTTATTTTCTTGGTTATCTTTCTCACAAGTGATTGGCTGTTTCTTGGTATCTACGGTGTGGCTGCGCTTGACTTGTATATTTACAAGGTGCTGACCTTTCTATTTCCCACTTCCTCGTCCATACTGTCTCCACGAGACAGTTGGTCGTTGCTGGAGGGGACGGGGTGCACGGTCCTTGTGGCCGTGTTAGGCTGGAAGAGCGGTTCCATGCACTCAGTGTGTAGCGGGCTACAGTCCAGCCACCGCCTTGTGTGCGCTTGATTCCCAAATACAGCGTGCTTGTGTTTACCTGTGGAGGAGTGTGGGCCAGCTCCGTTGATGAAACGTGGCTCCCATCCGCATGCCTCCCGGTCTTATTCCTTCGGGTTTACACTGGATATGGGTGTGTGGTTGGAGCTGTGGGTGGTGCAGTGCAAGACACCCATTGTCCCTCTGTAGACGCAGACGTCCTGTGGCTGACCACAGTGAGAGGCAAATCCGAAGGCGGATGCCGCCAACCATATATATATATATATATATATATATATATATATATATATATATATGCATACTGCACCAGTGCAAACGATTGATACCGAATCAGGGGACTCATGTTAATGAAGGATATCAGGGGATGCGCGGATATCAAATGTCTTTTATGTCTTTTTCTTTGGGTTTGGTTAATCATCTAACCAACCACTTGATTAAGAACTGATTTTCTCGGATATCATCTACTCTTAACAATCCCTTATCAAATCGCAGATAGCTTTGAGCTATTTTTATTCTCTGTAACTGTATTCGCAGTTAAGAACACATTATGAATGACCATAATTAAGCGGAATGCTATTTTTTGTCTTTTGCAACAAAAGTGGTGGACTGGCCGACTGTCGGTCTTCTGCCGAGTGACCCTGTGCGGGCAAAGAGAGCGCGGTGTGGTAGTACCGTTCCCGAAAAGCACAAGTATGAGCAAAACCGCTTAGATGCGGAAGGTTACGGGTGGTGAACGTACGTCGGTTGCAGGCTTAATGATGGAGGTGATTGACCGTTCAGTCGAAATCACAGACCGTTTTACGCCAGCGCGTGCGTCTACAAACCGCCAACTGTGATCTACTCCTTGTTTTCTTTGCTGTTTTCGGTTAGCTATTTGAGTTAGTGTTTGTTTGCCCCAGCTTGATGTAGACGCGTTGCAAGTACTTATCTCGAGTTTGGCAAATCTTCCGTCAGATTGACAACCTAGAGGATCTGCTCAATGACAAGGAGGTACAGTTGGCTGCGTCGAAAGCAAGACTCTCCAGAATTGGAGGCGAGACTATCGTTGTGGAAGGCCAACTAACCACACAGGAAGATGTTGTCAAAGAAAGGGAGAGACAATTAGAAAGGTGAGTTTATTTTTATCATCAACCTCATGATGTGCTTTGAATATTTCTTAAGCGATCAACATGTTCTGTTTTCTTGCAGGATTTTCACTTATAAACTACAGGATAGTAAGGGAGAATAACATTTATCTGAACATTCTGTATTAAGATATTTTTGGGTATTCGCATCAACAGTTTTCAAATAGTCCGTGCTGCGCACAAAGTACAAAGAAAGCACTTCAAACAGCGAAATTATGGACAGCAAATTGACTCGGTGTCCAGTAAATTTCTGAACAGCCAGTCCTAGCTTGCAATATTACGAATCACCAATTCATTATATTATAACTTGGATTTTTTCCCAACTTAAGCTCATCGACCTTTCCAAGCGTTCTAGTCGAACCGCTGGACGCAGTGTGCCTCAAGATGATGCGGAATAACGCACCTATCGTCGCAGTATTGCTAACTATGTGTTAAAAATATCACGCCTTGGTTAACCAGTGTTTCTGAACTAGCGTGTGGGAAGAGGTGGGTTAACCAGTTTTCGTCGATTAGGTTTGGAAGCCAACGAGTGTTTCGAGTCTTCGGTGCGTCATCATCATCATTACACGTTAACCAAAGGTGACAAACACTTCAGCTATTGTGTCGAGATACCACTAATAAGATATATGAAAAAGCGGGTTACTAAACATTACAGAATACATTACAAGCAAAGATGCCCATATCTATTATCTTATTATGCATCGAATTTGAGGTCGTAGTTGGCGATGGAAGTTAGACAGGAGGGGAGGGGCAAGGGAACTCCCGGCACAAACGCCAAAGAGGTCAACATTGTATCCAACCAATGGTTTTCATCTTCTTTCTCACCCCATCTCGGTAGCCGGTAGACTCCGAACTGACGCCAAGTAGAAGTGAGGGTCTTCACTCCTCTTGATTAAGTCACCGCTTGGCTTCTAGTTCTCTTCTTTCATCCACACCCGGGTCGCTCAAACAAATCGCGACGCGGCACTCGGTGTGTTGACAAGAGAAACTCTTACAACGGTACTATGGTATAATGCGGACTAAAAAAGCCAAAGCTTGACAAGTTCCTTGCGATGGTTTGTGTGAAGTATTTAAGTTCAAAAAGAGTTGTACTAAACTGAAATCTGTGAACTAACCAGATTATCCACGTTAACCTACATGTATATCCGTTTACCCCGATTTTGTGGGAGCTGATAAGCACAATGTTTGTCTGCGTCTTGTTGTCACCCACCGAACAGAAATCAAATCAAGTAATACAGATGGGGTAATGCATCGTCTAGTCGTTTTTTTCAAACGGATAGTAGTGGCGCAGAAATGAAAAAGCTCGAAAGGGCGTTCCACAGTTGACAAATTCGAGGGGAAAATAATTCCGACAGCACTCCACCCGACTGTATGGGGTGGCCAGTTTCAGCTGGTGACCCCAGAATTTTGTGCTGCGACTAAGTTTCAGTAGGTGGTAGCGAGCGTGACCGGGATTTTACAAAATCTGGTACGCCAGAATGAGACCGCCCCATAGACGGCGCTATCTTTCAGTCGCAGATGGTATGGCAGGTGGAGTAATCACTTGAAATGTTTGGTTTCCCTTCTTCGTGCAGTTTCCAGTGCAACCAAATCGCGTTTTAACTCTGGTTGCCAGGCATGGATCGTGTACTCTACGTGGGGCCTCACGCACGCATTTGGGGTAAGATGGAGAAGTCGACTCTCCCGAACGCCCTCATTGAGAGACCAACATGTTGATTAGTGGTTTTGGACGCCTTACTTTACTGTGCCGAGCAGCCGAGGTTGTCTTGCATCGCCACCACACGGTCGCGCTCCTGTGAGGCGATTTTCAACATATCATCCCCAAGCTTATATCCATAACTGGCTTGTAGCGTAAATGCACAGTTTTGCTATTGTCCGCGTTAAACGGAAGTGGATTTGAGTTAGACTTTCAAATGCGCGGTCTAGGTCTCGTTGCAGCATATCATGGCCTTGCTAACAGCCGATCGCCCGCCATAGCTTAATGTCATCGACAAAATCAGGAACTTTGACCTTAAGACACGCGCGAGGTCGTTAATGAAGACCAAGAACTAACGCAGCCCTAACACTGACCCTTGTTGAACACCGCATTCCAATTCGATGTGATCAGAAAATGAGCCCCGAACTCGAACCGTAAGACCTCGCTGAAAGGGTACATTTCCGATCAATCCAAGAACAGGGTTCCAAATTCCTTAGGCCTGCAGCTTTTGGGGAAGTGTGCCATAAGCTATTCAGTCGAAGGCTTTAGAAAAGTCAAGGTAGATGACATCAGTGCCGGTCTCACTACCAACTGTTTCGGTCCAATTGCCAAGCATAATCAGTACAGTGGTAGTACATCATCGATGCTGATGGAATCCATGTTGCTCCGGTGCTATTATATTAGACCTTTCGAGGTAGCCCATTAGTGCCTCAGCTATGATCGACTCCATCACCTTTGAGAGTACCGGGAGGAGAATCACTGGGTGATAGTTGGCGGGCTCCGAACGGCTACCGCCCTTGAAAATCGGGGTAATGTTACTCTTCTTCCACATGTTGGGGACATGCTGTTCATCCAGGTATCTTTGGAAAAATCGGGTTAATGGCTCAGCTATCCTCGTAGCTGCGACCTGCAGTGCTTTCGGGAGAATGTTATCAACTCCTGGGCAACTATGAGTGCGCAACGATAGCAGCTTCCCCCGAAAGGTCGCTGAACTAAACGTGACGTGTGTAAATACTGGCATCTGGGGATATTGGACAGGTATGTGACACTTGTTGCTAGCGCGCGGTAATGTTGGGGCAAATTGTAGCCGTAAAAGGTTGGCTGCGTCCTCAGCGGTTTGAGCGCATTCACCTGCTGATATCAATAGAACACCACACTTCACATTTCGGGGGATGTTAACATGTCTGTTCAGAAGGTTGTTGTTAGCACAAATCCTTTCCGCTATTTCCTGCTGGTGTACTATGTGTCCTCGCGAATAGGTGTGGTATTTATTACGATGCACAACATAGTTACTCCAGTTGTCAGGGCCAGAGTTCACTCTATACACATGCTACGCTGCGTCTCTTACTGTCATGTGTTGTCGGGTTCTGATTCGAATGAATGAATGTGCTTTTACAGAATGAAGGGGCCCGTTTACCGATACGGGTTTAATCCGATCACTCAACTTGTAAGCGAGCTCCATCCAGGCAGTATCAATGAGATAGTCATCCGAGAACTCCCAGATGGCATCTCCAACAATTCCTGTTAGTATGTCGTAGTGTGTGATTGCTCGAAGCAAGTCACTATGTTCTTGTGGATATTCCGCATAACACACAAAGTTGTAACGTGTTGTTACGTGGTCACTCAACCCCAGAGGATTCACCATCCCTCGTTTCTCGATCACGAACTCTGCTTTCGTGAGCACTAGTTCAAGCACAGGTGGTTTATGTCCCGTACTGAATCGGGTGGGCCAACTGACATGGCTGAAGAGCGGAATGTTTGCAACCTGCTCCTGCAGGTCGGCCTTAAATTGTTCGTTGGAGGATGTCGGAACTTCCAGATAGCAAGCACTTAAGTTGCCTGAGAGGAGAACGGTCCAGTATCATCGTCGTAGGACCCTACCCAAAGTTAATCTCAGGCGGCAGTCCATCTCTGGGGTGGACATTGGGGGATAATAAACAACTGCCACAAGGCAAGTGTCGTTGCGTCTTAGTCACAGGTTGCACCAGAGGAAGTTCATAATCAGCGTTTCGGAATCGTCCACTGGTGCATGCCGCTAGGGTAGGATAAATCTACCCCACTTGCTAAGATGATCGTTTCGGAGAAGTGACATACCATGTATCTCGACTTCGGCATCGATAATTTCTGAGCGCAACACGTTTCAGGTACGAATATAAGGTCCCAAGCATTTGATGCCGCAATTCGGCAGGCTTGTTCAGTAGAACTTGTGCATTGGGGTGCATACAGGTAAGATGCCCTGTTCTTAGCAATGAATCGGGAATGTGTGCTTTGGGTATACTGTTTTGCCGACCGGTGAAAGGTCGACCACTAATCGCTTTTTGGGTGTTGCGATGATGAACTTATCTTTGTCAGATCCAGGGTTTCCGCCATTATCACTTTGCTCCTGTCTCTATAAGTAAAGTATGCATGTGTTTGCCAGTTTCGTTAGCTGGCTGGTTGCAGTTATCCAAACTGTTGTCGGGAAGTGAACCGACTAAATGGCTGTTCTCGTATGTTTGCTTAGGGGATGCTGTTTTGATCCGGAGCTCGGAAGGAAGTCTGCTGTGCCCCGCATACCAGCAATCCCTCACCCTTGTTGACAAATGTCTGGATTGAAGCACCCATTTCACAATTTTCGGACCGCATGCTTTTTAATTCGGAGATTTTCGTAGCCTCGAGATCGAGTGCTCTATGCTGATTTCCAGACAGAAGGTCTCTCGAATGTATTGTCACTGCTCCTGGTCGTGAATGTGTAGCATACACACTAAAAGAATTCCAAGAGTGGAACAGGAACCTGTAGTATACAACATGTAGCCACTGTAAAGAAGGAACAAATATAAGTATAAAGAAAATGTAAAGTACGTCACGGTTAACATTCTTCCCTTGATTACTTCACTTCAGTCACAGCACATGTGTACGGGATCTGAAAGGCAAGCGGAAGACGCCGTTTTAGCAACGGTTCAAATTTAGTTCACGCGCTACCCGGGCAACGTCCCTGGTGCCTGACTGTATCTCCCTTCTACAGTCACTGCTAGTTCAGCGGCTACTTCCGGTGGTGGTTCGGCCGGTTCTCTATCGACTTGGTCGGCCTCCTGTCGGAATGGCTTGAGACGATTAAAGTGTACCGTCATGGGCAGGCTGTTGGGGCAATCGCAACACTTTACTATACACATAGTATCGGACACCATTTGCTCCACTACGTAGCGGCCAACCCACTCACGGTGGAACCTTGCAGGTATGCCTTGGTTTTATGTCTGATGTAGCCAAACAAGTTCACCAAGTCTTATTGGAACCCGAAGATTTTCTTGTC